TGTTTGAATGAAAATATACTGATATAAATCAAGCAACATATGAGACAGTATGCTCTCTATCTTTCAGTCTTCCCAGCAGACCATGCTTCTGAGTGGTTTCTGTTGGGTGCTCTGGGACTTGGAGTTTTCCAACCGTTACTAAAGCTGGATAAGGAGCATTAAGACACACACACATACCTTGACTAGCTCACATTCTCTCTAGGCACACTTTCCGGATTGGAAGCATTCAAACCTGAAAATCTTTTAAAAACTCACTTTGTTTTATTCAAAAAAGACTTTCTGGATAAACTTCATTTAAAAAATAAATTCCAGTCAACTTGGTGGGACATTTCCAAATGACATCCTGCTGCTGACGAGAGCTTGTATCTTTGAGATTGGGATCTAAAACTTGCTGTCAAAGAGCATATAGAAGTTTCTTTATAGATAATTATGCCCTGGGCAGTGCTGGTTTATTTTTTTCCCCCCATAGTCTCATGTGTCTGACTGAAATGTGAAAATTACAATATTCTATAAATTATGATCTGGATATTTAATTGGCATGAATTTTAATTTATAATTGGAAGCAGGTTATTAAAACTTTTCATGATATCCAATGCTGTTTGAAAGTGTATTAATAAAAAATCATTCCTTTTAGCTTCCCATAGTACATTCAAATGCAGTGTATAAACTGTCTCTTTTAAACTAAGATGTTGGAGAGAGGGATATATTCCCTAGGTATAGAACTTGACAGGTCATTCCGGTCTACATCTATTTGGTAAGTTTCATTAGCTTTGTTCTTTCCCTTTAGAGAGATTTTTGGCTCCTCGTCAAAAGTCTTTGCTCTGTTCCATTATAAACCCAAATAAATTCAGGCTTCTTATCAACGATAAAGTGGTCATAATATAAGGTCCGCTTGAAGACCTAACAGTTTATTTTCTTTTGAATAGCATTTGAACTCATTGTGTTTGGCGTTCTTAGAGGGAATTACCTTTATTATTTAAAATAGCTATGTTGACCTTAATCGAATATTAATTCTATGTTCTTTAAGTGTCATTGTATGTCTTTTCCCATAGTAGCGTGATTTATGACAGGACAGGATAATGCACATAAGGGTTTCCCAAGGACTTTTTAAATACCCACCTCTGGCCTTCTGTCTAGTTAATGCTTCATTACCAAATCCTATTGTTTACTTCTTATGTTTTTCTTCCTACTCTTCAAAATAATTTTATATGGAAAATTAAAATGAAACAACCATACATACCTTAAATGTGTTTCAAAATGCTGGTATATTTACATTTATTTGTCAAGTTTTGATCAAATTTTCATTAGGTCCTATGAAGTTACAAATTTAAAGTGATCGTGTGTAGCTGAATTCATGGTCCTAAAACTTACCTAAAAGACTACCCGCAGTATATCTTGACTATATTTATTCATCCAGTAATCATTTATTGAGCATTGCTTTTAACAAACTGAAAAATATCATCATCTATCTAGTGAAGTCACTCTTTTTGGTCACATGAGTTATTTACCCAGCATCCTCAGTTTTAATTCCAAATCCATTAGAACTACTGGGATAATTTCAAATTTCCCCATAGTCATAACAAGAATAAACAAAAATAGATAATAAATGATCATCCATGTAACTTTAAACCTTTCCAGTGGTGGAAATGATCTTAATATAATGATTCCATTTGACCGATCTATGCATGTTGATATATTTAAGGAATGATTAATTTCCAAACCATTTGTCTAGTACAAATGTTGAGGACTTGCTTAATGAAAATATAGAAATTACAGAAAAGCAAAGTTAAAGTGAATAGGAGAAATAGGTAGGACATCTATAAGAAAGGTGTCAAACATAAGGGGAAATGCTCTGTGTAGACATACATGCAAATATTTAAGGAACATAGGATAATAGGAGCCAGCTAACCTTGAATGAAGCTTTATTTCTGAGTAGCAGTTTGAAGGAGAAACTCATGGTTTGGAAGGACACACAAATAATATCCTGGAGGTCATTCTCTGGGAAAGATAGATAGATAGATAGATAGATAGATAGATAGATAGATAGATAGATAGATAGAAAGAAATAACTATCTATATAGAAATATATATATATATAGGGGGTTTTGCTAGCTCATAGAAACATCTAGGTTTACACTCTTTTCAAGGTTGAAAAGTATTTATTATCTTTTCTACATTGTTGTCCTTATCTATCGTAAATATGCAGTAGTCTTCTTTAACAGAATGAAATTTTGCTTTAGTAACAGAGAAAAGGAGAATTTTACATGAAAGAGAGAGAACCATTGATTAAGAACACTTACAGTGTTTTCTTTGGTATAGGATATTATAAATGTCCACTAAAATGCTTAAAAAATAATCCGTACCTTAAAATTTATAGTTGGGGTTGAAAAGTCAAGTGAATTTTTTAAATCAATTTTTCTATTATATTTTATAACTATCATGTTAGGCCAATGCTTCTTTTTTTATGGAGAGTTCTTTAACTGGTTAATAAATTTTATTATTTCAATTTTTTCAGTATATTAAGATAATTTATACTTCCTTTCTAAGTACTTAGGCATATCATTTTCTTATGTTTTCTGTACCTTCCTAGTTAGTGGAAACATTGTTCTTGGAGTGTGCTTTGTCTTTCTTTTCAAGAAGATCATCAAAGTTACTAGTTTGCAGTTTCCAAAAAGAAAGAGCCTTCTAATCCCTAGTTCAGAGGCTAACCTTTATTAGCACTCTTGTGGTTATAATGAGGACCCTGCTTCCAGCAGGGAGATTCTGGAATACTGAACAGATTATTCAACAAGTTCAGAGCAGATTCTGAAGTCCCTTATAAAACCTGCTTGTGAATACTGCTTTCTTTGCTTTGCTGTTTCTGGTTTCCATAGTATTCCTAATTACATAAATCATGTGGAGCATGGGGGCTATTTTCCATCCAATATCAATTCTGACACAGCTTGCATTTTGATATAATTTGTAGGTTTTGTCCCTAAAGTTGTATTTTTTTCCCTTAAATTCTTAGGGAGGGTACAAACTCTGAAAAAAGTAGTTTTGTGTTAGAAGATCTATGAAAAAAAAATTTTTTTAAATCCCTGTGGCTGACAAAGAATTTGAAAGTCATTTTGTGACAAGCATAGATGAGTAAGGCTGTAAGTTCAGAGAATCTGATAAAATTTTCTCAGGTTTAAATTTAAGATTAAATCTAGAATGTAAATTATTTAAGTTTACTATCTATTTCTTAATTTTTAAACTTAATTTCAATTTAACAGCTATTTATATATGCCTTTCCATATTCAAAACTGTGCTAGAGTCAATGAGTGTACCAATTAAAAGTGTACAAATTAAAATCTAATAATATATGAATATTGTAGCAGTTCATTAAAAGCAACAGTAATTCTGAAGCTAGGTTTCCTTAGAAAAGTTATAATCAAGATTGATTTATACATTTTTTGAAAGATTAAAGAGTTATAATTCTGAAAATAAGTTTCTCTTTTGCTTTTTTATTTCTTTTATAATATATGTGATCTTTTTAAAAGATTTGAGGCATTTGTTATAAAATTTATAGAGAAAAGCAGTTGCTCTAAGAGTATAAAAATGGTTTTAATATGCGAATTTTAGGAATATAGTTTCAGGCTGGGTGAGTGAATTTCGTGCTCATATCTGAAGATGTCTAAATAGTCATTGGGCCATAATTTCCTTTTAACTTTATTTATAGTAGTTTTAGAAACCTTCAACTCTGTTTCCAATATTTTCCTTTGTGTTGAATATATTAGAAAGAATTTAAATTGTGCTTTGGTAGAGAGTTGCAGAACTTAGTGCCATAAAATGCAGAACTTTTTTTTACTAAGAAGAAAATTCAGCAGAATACCAGCAGCAAAGGCCATTTGCATAACTCAGTTGCTCAGCAGCTCTGCTGAACCTAATTGTAATTCAATTTCCAGATTGCTACGCTAGGCCTCTCTGCATAAAATATGCAACATATAACATAACCAATGGCATGGACCTGTCGTTTTTGCTGATGATCTTCTTAATTTCTTTTTTAGTAAAAACATGTATCAGAATAATGTAACCAAGCCATATAGTTAGTTGTATTATATCTTTACCTTGTGTCACCTGTATACACTTCAGTAAAGACCAAGTTAAAAAAAATAATATCCTTTCATTTCTCTGGGTTCCCAAGAGTGCCTACATTTTTTTTTTATTTCTGGTTTTCCAGAGGGAAATTAAGTCTTGAAAAAAGTTAGCTAGCTGCCATGTTATTTGACTATTTTACACTAGAAAGACTTCATAAGCTAATCGTGTGAAAAAGTGTATAAACATGTCTGTCAAGTACATACGGATGTAGCAATACAGGCCCACAAGTAAATATCTTATGTTTACAAAGTGCATACTGGAATAGCATTCCTAAATCATTGACCAGCTTCTATCCTACAAACTTAAAACAAAAAGCTATGATAAAATGCTTGCTTAAGATTCTCCCTTTTACTTTTAAACAGCTTTACCATCCTGTTTTATGAGTTACTTAAGCAATAGCAATGAAGAGTTGAGTAGGGTGGCTTATAAAGGTGTGTATTATATTTTATGAATAATTTCCAGATGTAATGCTTTAGGTATAAAGACTCCTCTATGGGAAGCAGTACACAGGAACAACATGGATCTTACAATTTTATCAGGACAATGCAAGTAGATTTCAGCAAGGTTGGTTCCAACTCATCTGTGATAAATGAGAAGATAAGGCAATCAGTGCACACCACGACACTCTGTGCAGCTAGTTAGGCACACTTCAGAACTATTCAGGTGTGCGCACAAAGCTTACGAGTCTTGCATGGGGGTGTCTCAATATAAATACACCCTTCATGGTGGCCACTAGTAATGCAGGAATTGCCTCTCTAAGATGTAACCTAGGTCAGATATAAATAATAGATGTTAAGAGTTATCTCTGGTACTGGGGCTGTGCTCCAGGCAGTGTATTTCATTGGGTCAAAAGAATTTACTTTCCCTTTTTTCTTGCCTAGTTCCTCTGCTTGAAAAACACCTGCAAAATTCCATCACACCTTTGCGGGGACCAGTTTGGGTCTCTAAGGGAGAAGGTTTCAGCCCCTCAGGAGCTAAGATGTACATCCAAGGAGTTCTTTTGGCCTTGTACCAACGTTTAAAGTCTGCAAAAAAATACTATAAACAGGTGAGTCCTCCCTCTTTAAAAACTGTTTTATTATGTGTTTTTAAATGTGCTTGATTGTATAGAAGCAGTGATTGGCATCGTGTCATAAAAGAACTGTGACATGTATTTTGTGAGCTCAGCGCTCGTTAGGGAGCCAAAATGCTTCTTCTGTAATCTCAAAGCCAACAATAATGGGGCTAATTGTATCTGTCTCTTGGTATGGGATGTCGTATGTCTCATCTTTTCTTGTTACATACTGTGCAAAGCAAAAGCAACTTCTTATGTGGAAATTCTATAGACAGTTACTTTAAATAAGAAAATGAATAGCTCTTAAGTCATTTGAAGGTTTAAATGTTCAGCCTTTTTCTCCCCCAGTATGATATCAGAATTGCTGTTGTAGAAGTTGGGTTAAAATATAACTAATTGTATTCTGGGAAATGAAATTGCAAAGTAACTTCATGTCAAGAGTGACTTAGCTCATTTATGCTTATTTAATTTGTATGTTTCCAAACCTGAAAGTATAGAAATAGAATTAATGTACTTGAATTAGGTTACAGTAAATTTTGTCCTTTAATTTCTAAGATTTATTCCATAATTGTGTGTATGTAAAGACTTTAATATTTTTATAACTACTTAGAGGGACTTTGGCTTCTTTTAAAGTAGAATTCATGTGGCAAAGCAGAATGATTGATACCATTTAAAAAATAAAAATGGAGTTTCCACAGTTTTTAGAATCCTCTTTGAATTTAGTCTTAAGAATACATTTCACCATGTTAAAATAAGAGCTTGGTTTTACATTTCTAACTGGAAGGTTTCTGTTTAGAACTGGACTCATTATCTCAGGTCACAAGCTGCTGAAAAATGAATATTTTGAAAGCATCATGCTATTATTCTCTGTGTGCAGGGGAGGGGCGATGGGAATGGAATTCAGTCTCAGTGTTCACACAGCACCTCCTGCTGTCCGGTTTGGAAAAGAACAACTTGTATTGATATTCTTGAACTAAGGTGCACAGATCTAGCAAGAAACAGCTTCCCGTAAGAAACTTTAATTCTCAAAATGCAAATGGTTTGCCTAGTTAATAAATTTCAGTGAATCTATAAATGAAATGAATAATTATCATAGATAAGATTATTTAAAATAGTAAATATAAAAAAGAAAAATCCAATCTTATTTTATTTATTTATTTTCGAGCACATGTCAAAGTTTTACTTTAGACCTGGTCTGGGAAGTGCTTTATCTTATTTTAAGTACTTTGTTAAGCTGATACATCTAAAAACCAGTGTGAAATATATTTTATTGAATTTAGATTAAATTACTTCAAAATATCATTTAACCTTTACGATTAAATAATATTATAAAATGGATTGTGACCAACTTCATTATAATCACTTATTTGACATTAAATGATTTGCTTCTACTAATTAGTCAGTTTAAAATTATTTAATGTTAAAGAAAACATGAGATCATTCTCCAATGCAAGAAAAGCATTGTTTACATCAAACCTAAAAAAATTTAAAACATTTTCTAAATTTTACTAAAAGTGAGAGTGTTGTAGATAAAAAACAGCTCTAAAAGTAGTTATGACTTTTTTTCTTCCATTGTCCTAAACATTTAAAATTTAAATAGAGATAAACAGTTGTATGAGATTGAAAAGTGTTCTGTGTATTGTGAGAAAGGAAAATGCTTTAAGAATTATTGTTCTAAATGTAAAGGTCTCTTTATGACTGAAAATTGATGAAATATATAGTTTATTAAAATAAATATTACATGTAAATATGAACAAAATTAACATTTTTAACACCTTTGAAATTGTCTATATCACCATTATGCTAAATTTAGGAATATATAAGAACCTAGATTCTTTGCCATTCCTAAATAAACCTTTTTCCTTTCACTAAATTGTTACTTAAAACTTTGTAATCAGTGGTTTTAATATGCTACTTGTTTAACTTTTATTTTAAAATATAAAACTGGAGAGAAAGAAATAGATGTTTGCATAGTATGCATTTCATGCAAATTTCTATTTCTTTTAGATATTCTCAATTACATGTATTCTTGAGTCTCTTTTGTATTGTTATATTATGACTTAATTTAAAATTTTTGCAATGTTTAGGAAAGTCGCTGGAGTGGTACCATTATCAGGTCATCGGTGCTTAAGTGTTAAGCCAGGCAATAGCTTATTTGCCAGTAGGACCTCTTAGCAAATATTTCTCTCAGCATTAATGAACTTTATTTGAACTGCATTTACTTCAGTTGACCTTAGGGACAGCCTTTTCCATTTAGCTTTCTAAAAGATTGTGTTAAGGAATCATTAGATAGGTAAAATAAAGATGGATGATGGTTCCTATTTCCTTAATGAATTTAAGCTTATAAATTATGGGTTCATACAAGTTCTTAATATCATATTCATTCATTCCACTTCTGAGGTGATATATAAAAACAAAAATATTGTTTCGCTGGGATTCTGGCAGAAGATTGTAGACTTTGAATTGCTGTTTTGGAATCTCCACAGGAAATTTCTGTTGAGTAAACTCTGATGATACAGCTTCAAAAGAGAAGTCAGAACTACTGGTTTTATATTTATGAACTTATTCACTTTTAAATTTTTAACTTTAATTCGGCTATTATAGCATGCAACTGAGTTAAGCCTACTACATTAGTGTGGTCTTAAATATATAGTGATTCGTGTATATAAAATGCAATATTTTTAGTGCAGCATAAAGTCACTTACTCTTACATTTTCACATTTATTTTCTTAAAAGTGGAAACATCTTAGAAATTGCTCAGAGCTAAGCAGAATCTATTTAATTGGTAATTTTTGAAGGAGCATAAATGAGTTCATATAAAATGCAGTTAACACTTTCAGAGACAGGGCCTGTTCCGTCTCATTAGCATTCTTGTTATGTGGTGGTGCTGTTGGTGGGGGTGTTGAAGTAGGAATGCCATTGTGTCGAGTTCCAGTGTTTGGGGACAAACACTGCTGTGGAAGGAACGTGTGAAAAGGCCGCAGCCCTGTCAGTGAATGAGGAAGGCTGTGCTTTCTGTGAGCTTCAAGCAGGGAAGCTGTCATTCATAGGCCTAACACAGCCAGACGGAGGCCCAAACACAAGCCTGCACTACCTTTTAAAATGATATTAGTGATTTTTAAACATGATCTTCTTTATTTATGATCCTACATAGAGCTTTTAGTTGCTGTCAGTAAACAAAATATATGTCAGTCTGTTCAAAAACACTGTAGAGATGCATAAAAGTCCGTGGAACCGTGCCAGGAGGCTATATAAATAATGATTCGGGATGGCTGATCTTTAGAACAAACGAGATTTTAGGAAAACATTGATTTCTGGAAATGTCTTCCCAATTTTGATACGGCTTTGATTTTTTTCCCCAACCAACGAAATTCTTGGAGACTTTTTATGTAATGAATGCATAGCACTCTTCTTTTAAAATGCCAGTTTTTACAAGAGCTCATAAACATATAGTTTTAACCATTTAAAGTGTTTACAGGATAGCCTAACAGCCTTTATAGATTGCTTAGTGATTTCTGAAATTCAGAGAGAAACAAAGAATATCTAACTATAATATCTTAATGACCACCATCTCACTTATGAGAAAAATCATCACAGTCCCTTTGGTAGTTAAGACACAAACAAACTTGAGGAATTTTTAATCCTACTTCTAATGTTCAGTTCTTTGAAATTAAATTTTAGCTTGTTTGATTACTTAAAAAAAAACCTTAAATATTTCTTCCAATCTTGGAGCATTTTCAAAACTCTGGCATTCTGTAGGAAAAAAAAAAAATCAATTACCATTTGTACCGGAAGCTTCAGTTTTATTTTTATAATTTTATTTTGGAAATATATAACTGGGCTATTTCTAATAGATCATTAGTTATGAAGTTTGTTAAAAAGTACCAAAAAAAAAGGGATATGGTCCTTTTAAGTAAGTACTTTTTTGAATGCTGTTTATATGCTGTTTCTAAATTCTCCGTATTTGGTGTTTTGAGTTTAAAAATCTCAGACACTAAATCTATTTCAAAATTAGGTTTCACTTTTTAAACTGCAATATAACTTTATAATTAGATGGAAAACTTCAGCATATATGGATTTTTTTTTTAGTTCAGTTTGAAAACTGAAATGTATTTATTATTACATGAAACTAATCTCTATCAAAACACTTAGCTTTTTTAAAAAAATTTGTAAGTTAGCATTGGTTCACTTTATGTACACTTTTAGTAAATTCGATAGATATCAAATCAATAATAAAATATAATTTTGTGGAGAATAGAATTACTATGCAGAATATACTTGAATTATGTTTAGTGCTAACAGAATTCATTTATTGCAAAAGGTATTTTTAAAGGAATCTTACTATTTTAATTTTCTCTGAGAGTGTTGAAAGTTTGTCTTTTCAGATTGCCTTTTCAGTTTGCATTGTGTCTTAATTTAATCAAAATCATTTATTGCTCTTTATTTACATTACTGAAAATATAACTATTTCTATTTCATTTTTATATGTACTTATTTTAATATGCTAGCTACTTTTTCCCCAAATTTATTGAGAAATAATTGACATATAATAATGTGTAAGTTCAAGGATACAATGTAATGATTTGATATACATAGATTGCAAAAGGATTACCACAATTTCTGGGCTTAGTTAACACCTCCATCACCTGGCAGAATTACTATTTCTTTTTTTGTGGTGAGAACATTTGGGATATACTCTTTTACCAACTTTCAAGTAGATAATGCAGTATTGTTAACTATAGTCGCTTGCTGTGCCTTAGGTCCCCAACTATATGTACATTAAAAATTGGGCTGTTTTCTTGATTTACCCTTCTTGGGGCAGTACCAAACAGTATTTCAATTTTGAACTTCTTGATGTCCTCTGAAACCTTGGAACAAAACCATAATATATAAATATAACTTACTATTAAAAACATTAAAGTAGTATTGCACATGTTCCAAACTGAAATCTACTTCTGCAGGATCTGATAGGTAATTTTTTAGAATGTTAGGTT